GAAAAGCAGCCAAAGAACTTCTTATTATGGTACCAGACATTTCGAAGTAAAGTCAAAGTACAGAATACATTTAGACTCGGAAATTTTTAGTTATAGTAAAAAAAAAAAAAAAAGAATTTTACCTCTGTCATACAGCATGCTATAACAGGAATAATACTTGCATACCACCAAAGTATGCTTCCAATGCTGCATCCCAGGCTGTAGAATCATGAAACTTATCAAACTTGCAAGATTTACTATATTGTAAAAATAATAAAGACACCTTAATTCTGCCTATAAAAACAAGAACTCATGTAATTTAACCACAGCCCAAGTAAGGAAGGAAACAAACCACTCAGCCATTCAAACTACTTTAGTAGTATCACTGATGGGAGGGAGTAACTGGGCTGTAATTCTTATAGAATAATACAATGAAAATAACCTGTAATTAGTACTATTATAGGAAGAAATGTAGGTAATTTTAAATTTGCTACCAGCTAATACTATAAACAAATAAAAAGACAAATTATTTTCAAGTACTTAGAAATAACTTCATCAGGAGAATTTGCTTTCAATTAACATGCCAATTAAAATTATTCTTATCTTCTCATTAAATGAGGAAAATAACATCACTGGCACTAAAAAAACCCAAAAAACAAAAAATGCTTAAAATGTGCTAGGTTGACAATGAGAATTCTTTCCTAATTTAAAAATGACTCCTTTCCTTTTCTGAACGATAATTGTAGTGACTTTGGTTGGATGCATGCAACATGCAATCCCACTGATTTTTTTTGTTGTTCTCTCTTAAGGGAGAGGGCAGCAGCCCTCCCAGTAACTTGAATACAGTCATACTGGAAAACCCCAAGGATGAATATGGGATAGAGCAACTGTTAGGAGAGAAAGCCAAGGTTCTAGTCAGTGCTGTGAGTCACGGCAATGGCCAGGTAAAATAGTACTTCTTTAGAGAGCTAGACAGCTTCCTACAAAGCCAAATACATAACAACTATAAAATCCAGCCATTCTACTGTAGGTATTTACCTAATCTTAATGAAAAGTTATGTCCACCCAAAGACTTGTACATAAGTATTCATAGTTCTTTTATTTGTAATAGCCAAAAACTATAAATAATCCTAGTGTTTACCAACAGGTGACTATGGTATATCCATAAAATGGAACACCAGTCAGCAGTAGAAAGGAATGAGCTATTGATATACACAGTAGAATAGATGGAATTCAAAATAATCATATGTTGAATAAAAGAAACTGACAAAATGAATATTTATTGTGTGATTCCATTTATGTTCATTTTAGAAAATATAAGCTACTCTATAGTATAGAAATCACATTAGTGGTTGCCTACAGAAACCTATTACAAAGGGGCACAAAGATACTTTGGGAATGATGGATATGTCTACTATTCTGATTTTGGTGATGGTTACATAGGTGTATCAGAACTCATACATATGACTTATACATGTGTGAAAACTCAACAAATTATATATTTTAAGTATATACAATTGATTATATGTCAACTATACTGGGGCACACCTGTAATTCCAGCACCTGAGAGGCTGAGGTAGGAGGATCACCATGAGTTCAAGGCCAGCTTGGGCTATATAGTGAGTTCAAGGCCAGCATGAACTACAAAGTGAGACTCTGTCTCAAAAAACCAAATAAATAAATGAGTCAAAAGTTTGGGGAAAAAAAAGAGCGGGATTTCCAGAGATAGGCTTAACACAGAGGGCCACATACCCTCATGGGAGAAGGTGCCTCATGAAGAGGAATCCTCATAGAAAAACCAAGAAGAAAAAGAGGTGAAATTATATTCTATAATGAAGAAGAGGGCATTGATGCCCCACTATGTCCTTCCCACTACTTGGTGAAGGTCTAGGGAGTTCGCTGAATAGGAGAAAGAGTGGTGCAGCTATATCCTAATGCCCTGGAGATACAGGAGAGGAGAGAAAGCATGCTGCGGGGGCCTTCTCAAAAGAAGGAAACAGGATGAGCTCCTGGTTTCCCTCAAGATTATCTGTGCCAGTTCACTAGAGTCAAAGCAGGCAGGGAGAGGAGGACTTTAGATGAACATGAACTTATGAGAGCAAGACCCCTATCTGACACCAAAAGCATTACTACCCAGAACAGTTCGGCACTTGTATCTGGCCCTTGAGTTCACCAAGAGTGTTCACACACAGGAGAAAGGCTCAGGTAGGACACCAGGGCAGAATCTGCCAGGCTGGAGAAAGGTGCTTCTGGAAGTATTTTTGGTTGTTGGGTAGAACCCCAGGCAAAGAACAAGGTGAGCAACAGGGGACATGGCTGTGGAGTAATGTAAACTTGCTACCCTAGATCAGACCACCAGAGGCCATGCAGGTGGCTTAGTTGTAAGAAGGCAGCAGAGAGTCAGTCACCAAGGTATTTCCTTCAGGGCTCCCCAGGCCCCTCCCAGCTCTGCCAGCAAAACACCTGGCTGCACCTGAGCTCATCCTTCTTCAAGGGTACCAAGGGAACGATTAGTTACCTAACCCCTTCACAAAGTCAAGGCTAGAAGTCTTTCTCAAACATGGCATGTTTTAAATTTGTTCTTAAATCTTCCCTGAATTAGGGGGAACTAATAATCATCACATTTCTGAGATCTCAGTCTTCCTCTTGGGTATATCGTGGCAATCGAGAGGCAGAACAGGGACAGGGAGGCAGGAACCCTAACTTCTTTTACCACACTGTACTGCAGAACTTAATGCTATCCCATGAAGACAAAACCAAGTCCTGTCTGTAAGAAGAGACTCCTAAGTAATGGGATTTTGGTTACTTCCCAATTTACTTTGGTTCTTAATGCTAAGGAAGTGCAAAACTTGCTCTTAGAAAATCCTTTATGTCAGGGAGGTGGGCGCTCTCTCTTTCCCTTTTATTTCAAATTATTTTAAGCATTTAATGGAGAAAAAACTCTACTCTTGTCTCAGAAAAAAATTCAAAACTCCTTCCATAGGTTTTTCATTGGGACTTAACCTCTCTGGGCCTCACTTTCCTCAACTCTAAAATGAGGGGGTTGGATTAGGACTGCGTGATGTTTGGGTCCTGTGAACACTTCTTTCTTCATTGGATATTTGAGAACCTACTACATCCCAGGCATTGTCCTAGGCACTAAATCACAGAAATTAAAAGACAGGCAAGATTCCTGTACTCCGGCCTAGATTCCAGAGACCAAAATTTAAAAACTAAACAACTTGGCTTCAAAGACTGCCCAATAAGTAAAGGTTCACAATCTTCAAAGTAACGATTAAGGAAGGTGTGAGTGCACATTGAGGGTGGAGTAGAGGGGACTGAGTTAAACAACCAAACGGTAAGTTTCCAGGGGCAGCAATCTGTCTTCAACTTTCCTCACCAGAATTTGAGCTCCATGTGGGCAGATCTGTCATTACAACACTGATAACCATACCAGGCATATAGGCACATAACACAGGGTGCACAATAAAATTTTGTATCCTAACTTTTGAGTAATGCACCATTGAATCTTAACGTTACATGTATACACAATTATTACATTATACTGGAATGTAGATGTGTCATGTAATAGTAGAGGAATCTCTTGCTTATCTTCAAGTCATTCCTTAAGTCCCAGGAGCTTAATGAGGTTTTTTTCTCAAGCTTTAAGTGAGAAAAGGCTATTTTCTATTGCAAGGTAGAGAAAATACTATTTATTGTAATGGAAAGATTCCATGTCTGTTGTGGTCACAGTAAACTTTTAAATAACTGGGATTAAAACCAGTATGTTAATTTAATAGGTAGTTTCTCAAGGTACACTAACCAGTGGGCTCTGTCAGCCAAGGACCCTCTCTAATAGGAACTATGCCAATTTCTCTGTGAAATGCAGTTACCATTCTCACCCCTGAAGTCAGAAGTGCATGCACCCAATTTCCAGTAGCCTCAGGGCCCTGGGCTCAAAAAATTACACCTGAAAGGCAAGCATTTTCCTACACTGCCACACAGCTGCCACATACAGAAAGCTACTCATTTAAACTGTGCCCTCCAGCCCTGTTTAGGGGCATCATTAATGATTTCAAATTATAACTGTTGCTTATCTCAAAACAATGATAAATAGAGGAGCTACATTCATGATGCTTTTCTTCTAAGTCATTTATCTGCTCTGCTCTCAGGGACGAAAAAGATGTTGAGACAAGTGTGAACCTGCCAGAGCTAATTATAGATGCAGCCCTCTTTCTCTCCCTCCCTCTTTTCCACGCCAGCACCTCTCCCTGTCTGGTTTTCATGAATTGAGGCAGTAGCCTCGGGTAAGGGACTGTAAGTGGTTCCTTTATCAAAACAAGGAGGGATTCACCCGACAGGGAATAAGTCAGGCAACCAAGGCGAGAACCCCTCCCTCATCCAGGCATTCAATTCACCCCTTTCCCTAGGTCAACAATAGCTCGGGTTTCAGAAAGGAAGGAAGTCTAGAGGTAGGCGGTCAACCTAACCATAAACAGGAGCCTCGGCTTCAACGCGAGATGGAACAAACCCCCCTGCCAGGGCAGATGTGTGGGCGGGTGACAGTGCCCATGCAGAGACAGGGGCAACCTAGCCACGGGCGAAACATTAGTGGCAAAGAAGGGAGACCCACCACGATTGACAAAGCCACAACTATTACGATGTGTATGCAATATGCCCCACAGGCACTGATATTGGTGCCAAAATCTCCCCGGATTTATTTTCAGGCAAGTGACTAACAATCTCGTCTCCGTAAGTAATTCCAACAAAATGAGTCGCCGGTTCCACTAGCCCGACTTTCCGCTGCCCTCTGGCTGCCCCTCCCTCCTTTCCGCCTATCGAAGAAACCCAGACAGCGCACAGACTGAGCAACAGAACCCCGGGGGAGCAGAAGGCAGGCCTTTCGGCCCAGCCCCCACCCTCGGGGAAGGATGAATGGGGCCGCAGGCGGGTGGGCGGGAGCGCGGAGCAGGGGCGTGCGGGCTGCGCGCGGGGTGTGTACGCGTGTGTGCGCGCTTGGGCACGCACCCCGGCCAACTTACGGAGGTGGAGTTGGTCCTCGCCTGGCCCTGGTTTCGCACCTCCTGCTCCCGGAACTGCAGCCCGGCCAGATGCTTCTCCAGCGCCTCCCAGTCCATAGGGGGTACTGGGGGCTCTTCTAGGACGCAAGTCCCGCCGTCCGGGGGTTGGAGGCAGAGCCACCCGGCTGCCGGGCCCCGGCCGCCGTGCCGGCTACCCGCCGGCTTGGGCTTCTGGATCGTTCGCCGAGGACCCCGGGAACCGCTCGGCCGGCCGGCCACCACCACATTGCCATTGTGCCTGAGGTCCTGGGGGGCTTGCGGGTGGAGGTTGCCGTTGGGCATCGGGGGCGGCATGGTCGTGGTGGTGGTGCTGCTCCTGCCCCCGCCGCCCCCGGTCCTGGCGCTCACGTTCCCTGGCTCCCGAGCCGGACACCGGTCATCCCGGTACCCTCGCTCGTCTTCCTCTTCCTCTTCCTCCCCGTCCTCCTCCGGCGCCCATTCATCAATCTCCTTCTTCTGGTAGACCAGAAAAGGCTCCTCATAGTCCTCCAGGGCAGACACCAAGTCCAGGCTGCCCCCCGGCGACGACGAGGATTTGCACTCGGAGCAAGGGGTCACTTTAGTGGAGTTGGACTGCGAACTGGCGCGGCTGCTGCTGCTACTGCCGGCGTCACTGCCTAGATCCATCCCATCCTCTCGGTAGTCCTGGGGGGAGGAGGCAAAGAGAGTGAGCCGCCGGGCTGAGCCCGCTGCGCCCGCCCCGCGCCCCGCGCCCCGCCACCGTCACCGCCGGCCCCCGGTGCGCCCCCATAGGAGGCCTGAGGGCGAGAGCCGCGCCCGCCCGAGGCTTCCCGTGTGCGCCTTACTCCTCTCGCCCAACACATTGCCTCCGAGTTACTAACCCTCACATTTAGCAAAGGGGTGCCCAGCCACCAGGGCACACTTTTCATATGAGGAGCCCCGGGGCGCGCACCGACTTTGTTTTAACCATTTTGCGCCAGGCGCGCCCCTGCACCCCGCCCCAAGGCTTCTCCCAGAACCAGATACTTTCTCACAGAATTAATTCCCGGGGGGCGCGCCCGAGGAGGGAGTGGGTGGCTACTAATCTCGCACCTCGCTTCGGGCGTCGAGACCACTCCCCACCTGGCCCCGCCCCACCCCGCCCCTTCCCCGCCCCACCCGGTGGAGCGGGGGCTGCGAAGGAGCCGAGCTTTACTTTCTAAGGAACCGCCTGCGGTCAGGGGGCTCACTTTCGCCTCAGTGCTTCTCCCTCCGGCTGCCCGAAGGCTCCGGATGGAGTGGGGATCGCTCGGCCCTCGCCGGGCAGGGTCTCCCCCAGCCTCCCCCAAAGGTGACCCGGGCCGGGGCGCGGCGACAGTCCCTGCAGGCGCCGCCGCCGCCCGGGGGAGGAAGGACGCGCCCTCCCAGCGGCGGAGCCGGCCCGCCACCGAGCATGCCCAGAGGCCGCGGGCGCGGCGCAGTCTGCTCTCCTGGTTTTCTCGGCGGCAGGCTGGAGCCGGAGGCCAGTTGAGAAGAGACCGGAGAGGCCCGGCAAAGGCCGGAGGGAAGAGGACACAAGGCGTTAGTGCGCAGACAGTGCTACTAGTAAGGGGCGACCTGGGAGAAGGGTGCATTTTCACCCTCTGACACTCGGGTTTCTTGTGCCCTCTGGGCCTTTCCGAGGGGCTCCTTACTCGGCTGAATCCTCCAGGCATTCCGAAGCGGGGGCCTGGCGCCTCCTAATCCACTCGGAAGTCCCCGAGTGGCCTTAGGAAGAATGACCCCCCCCAACCCCCCCGGCAAATCCACAAGCTCTTGTACGAGCGTGAGTGACGTGAGCTCGGTGGTCTGACACCAGCATTTCCCTTCCACCTTCCCCCTAGCCGCTTCCTCGCCGCGCACCGCCATTCTCTGGTAGCTCGCTGCCCTCCAGGTTTAGGCTGTAGGTGGAACCTGTTGCTTTAGCTCCTGTTTCCCTCCCCCTCCTGACTGCTAGCTGAGGATGACCTCAGCGAGGTGTGTGTATGAGGAGTGGAAGGGTAAGTGTGAAAAATGGCACGGGGTGGGGGGTAGGCTTGGGATATCTGTTCTAAAGTTTTCGGGTCTCCAAAAACCCCCTCAGCTTTCAAGGAAACCTTGAAGGAGGTGAAGAGGTGATAGTGCTCCTGGCACGTTTAAAGGCTTTGCTTCCTTGAATTTTTCAGGAAACACACCTGGTTCCCTGAGTTTGGCAGCTCTTTCAGTAGGAAAAGGTGGGTCACAGTACTTTTAAGGATTAACAATGTTTTGTGAACGAACTCCTACTCTGTTAAAGCTAGGAAACCAGGAACTGCCCTCCTTTCTGTGGTGATAATGAAAAAGAACTCTTAGCTCTACAAGGAATTAGGGAAATCCAATTTCCCTGAACTTCCAGATTCGGGTCTGTTACTAATTATTCTGGTGGAATCTAGCCTGTACCAGGCTCTTACCCTGGCTTGGCACCGTCCAGATGAAGGAAAGGGGAATGCTTGGGATTCTTTAGTAGGGAGTGGCTGCCACCCTGACTATTCTTCTAGGGTCTAGTGGGGAGTTGGATGCTGAGATTCTACAATTTAGTGGTCTGTGAGGCCTGCCTCCTTCTTTTCTTAGGTAAGGCCTGAGGCAGGGAATTTAGGATAACCTTTTAACTTCTCTGGAAACAACAATCTAATGAATAACAGGAAAATGGCCTTTTGATCTGGCTAGCTGGTCTGTCAGAAGGGACCGATTATGACTTAAAATATATTTGACAAAAACGTCTGTAAATAGCCTGCCTTGTGCTCCAAATATGATTTCATTTTGAGACTGCTGTGGAGCCCTGGCTGCCACCCTGGGGTGTAAAGGTAGCCCTGTGGAGTATTCAGTGATGTGGATGGGAAGCATTGTGTGCTGGGAACTAGATACCTGTTTTTTCAAGTTACCATGTGACCTGGCAAGGCTTAGGTCAGTGAAAGTACCCTGGTCTTTGGCATGTTACCGGTAGACAAATAAATATTGATAAACTGAAATGACAGAGAATTGTAGTATCAGCTCAATTTTAAAATATTAGGGGCTCCTCAGCCCCCACCCACACTTCCCCTCAGGCATAAGCTTATTATCCCCCTGCTGTCCAGTTGGTCTGTGTTCAGGAAATGCAAAATATGGCCTAAGAAAAACATTTGGCAAGGTAAGTTCACTGCCAAAAATGCATGGCATTTCAAAGCCAAATATAAACATCTTTGAGTTATCTGTATTTTTACATTATTTTCTGTCCAGATATTCTGGATCACATGGGAAAGTACCCAGTTTCCCTTTTCTCTTCTCTTCATGCAAGGTGCTTGGCTAGCCCAGTTTCCATTCTGTTTCCAAGTTTCCATCACTTGCCAAGAACACGCCTACTTTGGAACAGGAAGCCCTGCCAAATCCTAGGCCAGCAACAGTCTGCAGCTATGTCCAACAGGATGAAGAGATGATTTGCAAAGTGATTGAAAGGCCTTTGTCTTCCTGTCTACAGCAGTTTCCTTAAGTTAGAGTTTAGAGTTTAGAATTAACAGACTCAGATTCTTTGTAAATTAGACATTAAGAGGTGTGGGACAAGTCAGAATCATTCCAAGTCCCTCCCATTCTAGCACTTTTCCTCATCCATCACCAAAGTATACAGTCACTTCTACTTAAATACAGAGTCCCTCCTGAAATCCACTGCCTCACCCTAGTCTAGACTGCTGTGCTCTGAAGTTACTAAATGGTCTTTCAACTGATCCCTGTCCACTCTCCTCATGCAGCCAGAGTGGCCTTCTTTACATTTCAAATCCAAGCAAGTCTCTCTCTCCCTTGATTGGTTAAAACCCCACAGAACTCCTCATTGCCCTTATAACTTAGAACTGCTTCCTACCACATCAACAACTTCTTTTGGCAAAGTTTTACTCATCCTTTAAATCTCAGCTTAAATGTCACTTCCTCCTGGAAGGCTTGACTGATTCTCCTGGCTCAGATGACCTCCCCGTGAGCCCATGACACTGCAGTTATCACAGAAACTTTATTAAGGCTGCTGTTTAATCATTTATCTTCTCTAATAGACTCACAAGAAGTACGTTTTATATTAAGACCCAGGCCTAATATACATACAAAAATACATGGAGTTGCCTGGGATTTACCTCTGGTTCCACCACCTGCCTCACAAGCACAAGGTCCTGAGTTTGATCCCCGGTACCAAAAAAAAATAATAATAATACATGGAGCTGAAATAAGCTTTATAAAACTCTTATTTTATGAAATTCTATTCTAATTTATTTAAAATCAGGTCACACCTTACCATGCTGACTTTACAACCGTTAAATGAGTCAGGGCTTCCCTTGTAAAAAAACAAAAACAACTTTGAATTCCCTGAAGGGTAAGGCTATGAAATAGGAGGTTAATAAACATTTGTTGCTGGAATTATCAGTAACACTAACAACCCTCAAAAAACCCATGAAGAAACTATTTTTGTCCCCATTTGTAAGTGAGTTGGCCTTGGACAGTAAGATTAAATAACTTGGTGTTATTATGTCACCCTAGAGCCTCATGCACTCATAGGAGGGGCTTTTGAAAGGTGATTAGATTATAGAAGTGTACTGTTGACTTGTTAGGAGGTGAGGTCTGGTCAGAAGAGGCAGGTTACTGGGGGAATGGCCTGGAAGGGTTTATCTCCCTTCCCAGCTTCTCCCTTCACTCTCTCTGCTACCTATCCCCCTTGCCCTGAGCAGCTCTCCTCTGCCACACCCCTCCGCCATGCCTTCCTGCCAGCAGACTATGGACTAAAACAAGTGAGTCAAAGTAACTTCTCCTCCTTTAAATTCTAGATGTTGGGTATTTTGTCCCAGCAAGGAGGAAAGTGACTACTGTCAAAAAGCATTGGTAGATAGGTGCAGAACTAGGATGTGAACCTGGTTTGTTTGAATTCAGAATTCTTGTTCTTAGTCATTTAGCTAAAAGCTTGGTATCCCTTGATTCACTTGCATGTGGATGAGTTTACCAAGCCAAAATGTTCAAAAGGGTCTCCTTGTATTAACCTCAAACTAGGTCTCAGCCCCCTGCTCAGCAGAAGCTTCTTGAGCAGTATTTATGTCTATACAGAGAGGAAGGCAGCTGGCAAGAGCAGCTGCTCTCTGCTCACATATGTTTGACCTCCTCTAATGCCACCAAATTCAGCAATATTCAGCAAAGTGGGAGGTTTCACAGTGTAAAGGAAGAGTAAGCATAGACACTTCAGAAAGCGAATTTTACATTATCAGGAAATACATGTGTTAAGTTCTCCCTCAAATTTTTTGAGGAGACCACCATGAGGTTGGGGTGTTCATTTTTTAGTATCGATGGGAGACTAGATTCATATTCAAAGGCTAGGGATAAGAAGATGTGTTCCTCGGGTCAGTGCTATTTATAGGATTCTAATCTGTACAGGAAACATTTGAGAAAGGATATGATTGAAATGTATGCGTCATAAGGAGTATGAATAGGTAGGGAAAGATTTGTGTGCAAAATTCCCAAAGTAATTTTGAAATTATTAGTCCTGACACTGAGCCTTCTTTACATTGGGACATTGAGTGTAATAAAGAAATGGCTGGCAAAGGGTTTATATTTCATCTTTATTACATAAATTACATGCAAGTCACATGCTGTACCCAGATGCTCTGGAATTTTATCACCTGCATGTAACTATATGGGAATATTTC